ACGGAAAGCCGAATTAGTTTTGGAGGTAGGTTTAGAATTTTTCTTCACCAAATCGCTGTCTCGTGATTTCAAAATAGACACTCTTAACTATTTTCAAGCAGCAGGATAGTCTATACTATTAAAATTTTGACTGGGAAGATGGGATGAGGACCCCCTCTAGGATCATCATTGTATGCATTTAATCTATGTTCTAATCAATATAGAAGAGAGAAAACTGGGAAATTGAAAAAGAGAAATTTATTACTTAACATTACTTGACACCTAAAGGCTGGATTGGGTTAATTCTGGTTTTAACCACATGTACCTAGAGGAAAAAAAACAACAACAAAAATACATAAGAAGACCAAACAATGTACCTAGCCCAGCCTGTAGATAAATGAAATTTAGTGTGGAGGGCTGCAAATAACGGCCAGTCAATGGACAATGTCCGCTCAAAATTGGGTACTGACCAGACAAATCCTTGGTTTGCCAGACATCTTGTCCAGTCCTTTACCGACTCGTTCAAAGAAATTTTAATTTTTAACTGTTTGATAATCACAAGGGACAACAGTCATGTTTCCAAAAGGAAAAAAAAACCAATATAAAAGTAGACAAATTAGTGGTCGAGAAATTCCCGGCAGTTGCAAATTTCCGCGATGTCATCAAGTCGTGTCGTGACCGCAAATCATCGTGTCTTCTGTTATTTTATTTACTTTATTTAATTGTTCCCAGTTAGCAGAGGGTTTTACCTTTGGCTAGATACCATCATTTACTTGTAAATAAAGTGATTGATTGTTTGATTGATTGAATGATCGGAAGGCACCCTCGCGAAGAATAATCTTGCTGCATCGAGAATACTTCAAGTAGCATTTGTTGCAAAGTGCAAAAAGCGAGCTAAAGGCCCAAAACCTGGAGAATCCGACCACTCTTTTACTCTAACAAAAATTCACAACTGTAACTTTAAAAAAAAGGGCTCTGTATTTAATATTTAATTACAAGTGATTTTGCCAGATGTAAAGTAAAACGGACAATGGCGGTTGTACCTTGCGTAACTGTTCCACGTACTCAATGAGAGGCTGCTTCTGCAGTAAAGAGTAGTAAAATTATTGACTTGTAATTTTTATTGCCAGACTGACTTGGATTAAGTTGTTTTTTAGTTGTAGAAGGATTACTGTGCAATCTGGGTTCACTATCACAAGAGTTCCGACTGTTAAAATTTGACCGGCCAAAAACGGGTAGTGTTCGAGCAAAAGCATGTTTGACCGGGCAATGTGACCGGCGACTGCCCATTAGTTATTTGCAGCCTTGGTGTGGTCTGGTGTTAAACTGTTCTAAGAGTAAGTTCCTGTATCGAGAAGGGATTTATGTCCTACTGCCAATGAGATTTGTGTAGCAAAGCCATGGTTTTAGTTTATTTCATATTTATTATCACATGGCAGTACACAAGAGACCATAAGGGACAGAGTCTCTTCTGGTCTCTCATGAAGTGTCCACCCTTGGAGTTTATGGCTTTATACATTGAAAAGAACACTTAGGTCTGCCATTCTGCATTAAAAAAATAATTATTTAATGCTGAGTTACACTTTTTTTTATTGAGGTGGAATTAATTTAGAGATAAACTTCACTTAATAGGAGTCCAATCCAAGTGATTCTGATGTATACTGCAGGCATTATTTGCAATACTGTTCATATTGTTTCGTCTTGTTGTGTATTTTTCATCAGGGTATAATATTCTTAAATGCAAGAATAGCAACCAGCCATTGTCGGCAAAAACGGAATCAGTGTTGTGGAACAAACCACACTATCTGCACTGCTTTGGCTGCAATAACCTGAAACATTTCAATTTGCTTACCATACAGACTCCTAATCGTACACATGTACAATTACAACAAACACCAACCAGTTTACAACAAATACAAAAACCAAGACCAATGCTGCCAACACAACCTTATAAACAACAAACACAATCATATCAAAAGAATGGCAGTAATAATAGTACAAGTTGCTATACAAGGGTGTGTATGTGTGTGTGCTAGCCTTGTAGTTATCAGCTGCTGCAGCTGTTTTTGATTGTCACCATCTTATTTTACATCACAGCCTTGTTCCTCAAGAAACTCAAATATGAAATGTTATAAACATCCTGAGTTAATTCAGGGCCCTCCACAGTTACTAAG